TGTGCCAACTTCCAACTTTCTTTCTCGGAGTGGTTAAGCCTAATTTCGCGGATATGCGGATGGTTTGTTGAGTATATTCTCGTAGAGGAAATCGATAGATCATTTCTAGAAAAAAACCCGAACTCAATATTCAAATTCTATCGAGAGAAAAAAAGCCGCGAAAAAATCCGCAATAATTATGCATCAACCTAATAAAAATTTATTCGAAGAAATTTTTCGTTTAACTTTTATGCAACATGATTGTTGAAGTAAATGAATTGGAGGGTAGAAGCTCTTCCTGAAGAGCTTTTCGTTCTTTTCATCATCTCCAATAAAATCCATGTGAATTATGTTTGTGTTCTGTACATCTTCATGCTGGCTTGTTATACGTTGCTATTGCTAGTTTTAGGGTTATCACCCAGTCACAGTCACAGTTACTCTCAATATTTATGTATTTAGGGTTGACGTACTCAGATGATGTTTGGATGAAGCTGGAAACGTGCACGAGTTATCCTAATAGAGAAAAGTTAGTTATTTTGCCATAGTTTTCATCAATATGACTACAATTTGATTCTGTTTGTTTTCTTCGTGTTTTTAGTCAGAGTAGTATCTGTATTTGGGAACATTCGGGAACTAAGACTAGCCGGAAGTGGTCTATGTGGTTTTCGGCAATGATAAGCATTTTTAAAAGGTCCCTATGCCTACGGGTTACTGTTCATTCATGCTGTTTCTCGAAAAGTGGCCGTCACATGTCTCAGAATGTTTCTAGCGTTCTACGAAGCCGCCGGCCTCTACCATTTCGGTCAACCAAATTCTGGCTTCGTTTGATTCGGCCGTGGAAATGGCGGCATATGAGAAGAAAAATGCAGAGGTAATTGCCCCTTCCCACTTTTAACTCTTCTTTAGTGGACTTATACCATGTTTTTGTCCAAAAGGCCCTGTACTTTACGATGAGTGAAAAGACTAAATTTTCGTTGGTTCCCTGTTCGAAAAACTGCAGTTATTAACTGAGCGGGAGGTGTTACTTCGCTGTTTTACACTGTTTATTGTTTGCCATAGTTCTGGTTGTTATTCGAAAACCTGATGACGGCTGTGGGGGAACAGTTGACAGGACGGAAATGTTTTTCAATTGTTTTTTGTTGCCATCCATAATCATTTTCCATTCGTTTAGAGCAGGCAGCGAGCGCTCGAGAAGGTTGACTCCGAGTATTTCGACTGCGTGTCCTCCCTCTCCTTCACTACCAAATTTGCATAACCCTCTAGAATCAAGCATCTCACCAGACGAATCTGCTTCCCATGCAAACACCAACAGCGGTGGTGAGTAGTTTCCTGATGGAGGCAGTTTACATGAATTGAAGCTGAGCTGTAGTACGGATTTCATTTTCCATAAATTTCCATTTCCATTAGTTTAGTTTAAAAGAAAAAAGTTGAAAAAAATCAATTAGGTGAAATTATATTTCATATTTTTTATATTTTTAAGATTTATGGGATACCTTGTTCCCAGTTTACTTACAACTTGTCGACTGGAAATGTGCTAGCTTGAACGAGCTGGTTCAAAATCTTCTAATAAACAGTAAATGACAGTACAGTAGTAATTCACAGTCAAGTGCAGTTGTATTTCCTGCGCAGCCATCATGTTGTTTATACTTTGATTCTTCGTGATTCATACGCTTTATTTCCATTTATGAGAAAACCATTTCTTGGAAGGTTTGAATACATTTTTAATTGTACCACCATAAGCGGGAAGCTTGATTTGTCGCAATACTATGAGATGGGGTTGTAGGACTGATCATTGCCATGAGGCAACAACTCCACGTTCCCATTTTCTGCCATTGTCTAACTCTTTTTTTGGTAACAAAACAGACCTGCTTCAGTACTTCTATGTTCCATCATGTTCTGGAAGGGTCGAAACCCGTTATAAAAGGATTAATTTTTATTTTCTGCTGCGGGACTGTTGGTGGAGTTATTTGCTCAANTCAGCGTTCAATGGCCAAAAAAAAGTTTGTAGTACTATGTAGGCAGTACTTTTCCTGGCAGCGACTCAATGTATCTTTCGCCTGGTACCAGTAGGATCGATAGAATCTAGGGGCTTACGCGATCACAACAATCGTTTTCCATCTTTTTCAGCCCTGCCCACTAGCGCGCGGCGTACTCTGATGAAATGATCTCCTCTTAGCTTCTCGGAACGAGTTACGCGACTGGAGTTTACGATTTCTCAGAACGAATGCTATTCATTGCTATATAAATATTCTTCCTAGGTTCTTGAAAGAGAAAGACTAGGTTTTCCTTTCGTTTTAAGCATTATAGTTATCTTTGCCATTTTATGTTATCGACGGCAATGTGCATGTGATCGGCGCTGTGGGGCGCTGCTGCACCTGTTAAGCGTTAAGCGAGCGACCTTACTTCCTGCTCGGGAACTTGTGCTAGTATACCTTGTATATTCCCGTTCGTGGAAAGACAGCCGCATGGTATGTCCTGGGCAGCGCTTCGTCCGTTACGCGCCATCAAGGACCATCGTTAGCTTCGAGAGGCGGTAAGTTAGCACCGCCCTTCGTAGCAGCGTTGTCGTTGGAGCGCACGCCTTCTAATTACCTCTTCGACTACGCCATACGGTACAAATTTTGCATCGGGTATAACTTTTGGCTTTATTAGTAGTGTTTCGCGCTTATCATCGGGACACAACCCTGATCCGGAGCACAGACCCTATGGTCACTGATATTTCCTATGTCTTCAGGTCTTGTAATATTCGAAAAAACGAGGTGATTTTACGAATCTGTTCTCAAAAGTTTCGAATAAAAGGATTTATTAGAGGAAATAAAATTATTAATAACTCAAGAAATTGAGAAAATTGATGAAAGCTGCTAACCTTTTTTCTCAAAAATTGTAGGCTAGTGGCCATTCATTCGACTTGGCCACCTCCTTGAGACGGAAGTGGCGTAGCAGCAAGTAGTGCACTATCATACCAGCACGGTCCTGTGATCGAAACTCGGAAGAACTGGTCGGCGTAGAATTTTATCCCGCCGGCGTCGAGTAATGGTACTAGGCTCGCTTGAGAGGATAAGTTGCAGTAGAGCGGTAAAGCTGTTGTAGTGGTTGTAATAGAGGATACACAATTGTGAAGAAGAATTCGTAGAGCGTTGACTACTCTAGCTGAGAACAGTTGTGCTGGAATGCGGAGATTTACTCAACATAACCTCATGGTAGCGACAGTTTTCCGCATTATTTGCAAAAGGGGCGATGCGTCAACTCCATCCGTTGTTGAAATTTCAGTTATAGACCACTGGGCTCAAGAGGGTCTCCGTGACACCCGTCAAGAAACGAGAGGTTGAGAAGTGGCTTCTCATAGTCACCTCCTCCTCTCTCTGTCACCTGTCAGGTGATGAATTCGACCCCCAACAATTTCGGCCTACACAAGTTACTTTTGAGGCTGGACTTATGCATTTTTTTCTAGTTATGCCTCACCTTTCGTCTAAAAACACTTTTTTCTCAATAATTTTGTTTGGTCGCACAAGAAACTGCTCTTTTACACGCATTTCCAAACTTGCTTACTGCAATTCTTTGTGAAGAGTGCAGGAAGCCAGTTAATTAGAATGACATGAACTAAGTGAGAGAAGGAGGTGGTGCAGTGGCACGTGGCGCACGACCACACTCGCATCACCGTAGGTTCGAATCTCGGATCGATATCCGTCTAAGCCAAGCAAGCATTCTCTCCCTCCGGAGCCAGCTATTTAGTGCCAGACTCGTATGGGAGGATGAAAGCACCGTTTTGTTCGTCGGCTGAGCACCGCAAGTCATTGTATGGGCCACTACGCATTCAATACGTCACAACGATTCTGAATGGAGGTCGAGTGCAAAGGCACTTCCTTCAAAAGAGATTGGCCCAACGCCCGAAGACTCTATCTTTCATCCTTAAAAGCTGAAGTGAGGATTTTGCTGACTGCTCTCACTACTTACAAGATCACTTTCATCGTGTTCTTAACAGTATGTATTCGAACAAAGAGATCAGCCTGTTATAAAGGCTTCCCGGTGGTGGGCGAATTACGATAGTTGTCTGTAGCTGAAGCTAGATTGAGGTATTTTTAGTGAGGATTTGTTGGCAAGATTCACTATTATTGACTCGATCGAAGTTCCATTGAGTTGTTTCGTAGCAGAGAGGTTCTTGGCAAATATACATTTGAGCTTTTTACTTCGAGTTTCTTCAAAGCAAATAGTTCTGCCAGGCCTCCTCAGATGCAAATTGTGGAACATGGGAAGTTCATAAAGGGTAAAAGAGAAGTTCACAAGCAAATTTGTGAATACAAATTATTTTGGTATGCACATAATAGTTTATGTGCGTTCCCTTGTACCTCCCAGGCTATTTCTTTACTTGAATGTATCTAAAAAATGATATAATCAAATACAGTAACAATGGCAAAGCTTAGAATGTATTAACGATTCCAATACTCTTTGTCAATGTTCGGCGAAATTTCTTCTGCAACAAGAGCAAGAATTTAGAATTTTGCATAATAAAAGGAATTTTGGGCGTTAATCAATTCTATTGTTGGGATGCGCCCCGCAATCGACTTCTATTCAGAATTCTAGTAAAGTTTGTATGCGCATGCGCCATACAATGTTTTGCGGTGGCCAGCCACCAGACCCTGAAAAAGGGTATGAGTGCTTACTCGCTATTTGATCTCTGGAACATGTACAATTGGAAATGCGCCAGTTGTCACTACACTACTCCTCCTCGAATACTGGAAAAGAATATCGTTAACGAATACATTTTGAATTCTGCCTTTATTACTGCCTGGACAGTACAGTTGTGCTTAAACATGACGATTCCAACCTTAGCAACTTTCATGGGCAAAGATTCAGTTTGATTTCAGCTGACGATAAATTTCATGATTTCAGTCGTAAATTGTTTATGCTGAAATATGAAAAAAAAAACTTTTTTTTACTGGTGTCAATATTCACGTTCCTATACGGGGAAGGTGTGTCAGGGGCGTCTGATAATGTCAAATGATTAATTCTCGAAACGTTTGTAGTTCCTATGAATCAGTTAGTCACAGCTTATTTGTTCTGTCAAAGATGAAGTAAATAAGTTTTTCTATGATTTTTTTTTCTGTGCGATTCAAAATATCGATGCCAACGTTTGTCCGGCTCACGCGCATAGATTATTTCGAGAATTTCGCTTTGTTTGTCAAGCAGTTGATCACGTGTTCCCCTCACTGTTTGTATTTTTCTTCTGAAATCATCGCATTTATAATGTCCCCTGTTTTGAGCAGTATATTCTGCAACTAGCTTAGTTGAAGGCAAATTTAACACCCAAAACTTTTCTACTGCTACCACGACGATATCTGTCCTTATCAAGTGGTCGTCTTGCAAGCTCACACGTTCCGTGGGGTTTTTGAAGAAGCTATATTAGGGCAGGCGGAAAATAGACTCGAGAATCATCGGGGATTTGGAGTAAATATAATTTTTTGCTTCATATTGAGTCTGTTTATATCGCCTCATGTCTACATAGCTTCAGATTTTGTAAACTCCCCACATTTTTGAACTTAAACCATTTTACCGTGAAATGCTCTATGAGCTGATGAATGATTTAATAGGATTTAAAGCTATGATGTTGTACTGAGTGATAATTTTACAGAGCTTGCATCTGAAAGAGCACCTCACAGCAACAATCTCGACACCGTCCCTCAGTCCTCATCTGCCAGGTAGGTTCCTTATCGCTCTATCTTCTTTTGCCATTCTCTAAAATAAAAAAATTGTCTTCATTGATAACGGCAGTCTTTTCTGATGTGTGAGTGTTTCCATTACATGCATGCAGCTACGTTTGCCCCCCCCCCCCCCCCCCCCCCCCCACCGTCCCCCCC